TTTTGTCCAGCATTGATATAAGGGTTTATGCCCAATCTTTTTTTTTTTTTTTTTGGTTTTACGAGACAGGGTTTCTCTGTATTGTTTTGGAGGCTGTCGGTCCAGCCCGGCCTCAAACTCACAGAGATCCGCCTGCCTCTGCCTCCCGAGTGCTGGGATTAAAGGCGTGCGCTACCACCGCCTGGTTTATGCCCAATCTTAATACATCTTGTTATACCATGTTGGTTGATTTCCCTGGGAGGGTTCCTTTTTCTGAAGGGAAATGGAGGAGCAGTGGACTCAGGGAAGAGGGGAGTTTGGGGGAGGGACCGGGAGGAGCGGAGGGAGGAAGGGCTGCTGTCAGGATATATTGTATGAGAGAAGAACAAATGTATTTTCATGTATTAGCTATAGTAATAGCGAACAAGGTTGAGCAATTACCTTTGGAGTAGGATGTCAAGTCTTAAAATTTTAACAAATTCAGAAAATGAACCTATTTCTGTGTAGCTTATTTATCTTACTATGATGCAATAAATCTTAAAACACATCTTAAGTAATTATACCAGTTCATGAGTATTAAATAACACACTACTGAATGATGAAACCAAGAAAGAAGGAATCAAGAAAGTAATAAAAATATTCCTGAGAATACAACACAACTAAACCCCTGGGGACACATTAAAGCAGGCCCAAGAGGGAAATTTATAGCTCTAAGTGCTTACATGAAAAAAAATCACATATATGACATAGTGATGCAACTCAAGAATTTGGGAAAAAAGAACTAAAATCAAACTCAGTAGATAAGAAGAAATAATAAAAATCAAAATGGAAATTAATGAAATGAGAACAAGTAAAACAGTACAAAGAATCAATGGGTTAAGATCTCATTCTTTGAGAAGATAAATGAAATCAACAGGTCCTTGGCTGAATTAACCAAAAGAAAGAAGGGGAGGACCTAAATCAGCAGAATCAGTGATGAACCAGGAAACATTACAACTGACATGAAAGAATCCAGAATATTATAAAAGAATACTGTAAAACTTGTACTCCATTAAGTTAGAAAACCTAATGGAGAAATGAGTAAATTTCTCCATTAATCTAAATCACCAAAAAAAGTCAAAGAGAAAGCTCAAACAAATCTTATTAAAATCAGGATTGAGAAGACTGTCCACTATCTTTACTCTTTCTCAATATAATCCTTGAAGCACTAGCTAAAGCAGTAACACAAGAAAAATAAATTAAAAGGATACAAATTGGAAAAGAAGCAAAATCATCCATATTTGCAGATGCCATGATATTATATATTAAAGATGTCAAAATTTCTGTCTGAAAACTTTGAAAACAACACTTTTAAGAAAATAGAGGGGCACAAAATTAACAGTAGCCTTTATGTACAACAATAATGAACACATTAAGTAAAGATCATTTAAACACTCCCATTCATATTTGCCAATCACATTACTTTCAGAAAGGAGAATATTTAGTAATATACCTGACCAAGAAGGTGCAAGAACTCTACAATGAAGAAAATGAAATATTTGAAGAAAGAAATGGAGATCTAAGAAAGGACTTTCTAAAGAGAATACATTTACTCAGGAAACAAGGGCGCACCTGATTGACATGTGGCCTCATAAAACTAAAAAGATTCTATATAGCTAAGAAAACAATTAACTGAATGAAAAGGAAATGGTAGAGAAACTTTTCAAATTGAATATACAATACAGGATTGATATTCATAATATATAAATAATTAAAAAAACAAAGAATCATAACAAATGACTCAATTTAAAACTAGGTTAGAAAACCACTTATATATGGAGCTTGTGTAAAGAAATGAATTGGTTGGGCTCAGATGGAAAAACTTGTGCCAACTGGTAGATGCTGCTCCTTCAGCTGGACAAAGGCAAACCCACCAAGCCAAGGGGAAAATTGTTCTCATAAGCACTTTTGCTGTAGTCTTGCTTGGAAGAGCACAAGATGAAATACCCTAACTCCTCGGTCAACTTTGATGAGTTCTCAAAGAAATTCTCTGAGAGATGCAAGACTGCATCTGCAAAGGAAAAGTTGAAGCTTGAAGATATGGCCAAAAGTGACATATGATGGGGAGAAGAATTATGTTCCTCTCAGAGGTGATAAGAAAGAAAAGAAAAAAAGACCTCAGTGTTTCCTCCAAACTATAGTCAATCCTCTTCCTGTTTTGCTCTAAACATCACCCAAAGATAAAAAGTGAACACCCAGGTCTGTCCATTGGAGAGACTGAAAAAAATTGGCTGAGATGTAGTCAGAACAGTCAACCAGAGATAAACAGCCTCAGGAACAGAAGGTAACTACACTAGAGGAGAAGTATGGAAAAGGTGTTTCTGCATACCATGCTAAGGGTGAAAACGAAGCAGGAAGAAAGGGCCCTGGTGGGCCAACAGGCTGGAGACGAGGAAGAAGATAAAGATGGTACGGATGAAGAATTAATGGCTGTCCTATAACGTTTGTGCTCAGGCAATTGTTTTGCTAAGAGTGTGAAATTCAAATGTAGCTCAACATTAGCTTCAGCATAAAAACTGCTCAGAAAACTGTCCTCAGCAAGGAGGCTGTGAGGTCATTTCCAGCTCAGGGGCTTCTGGACCCTGTGCCTGAAGTACATGGTGTTTTCAGCAATGAGGATTTACCTTCTAACCCTGGGGGAAACCAAGGGTGATAACAATAGCCTGTAATGTTTGGCAGTCTCTTGCACAACCATGACCAACAACTCAAAGGAGGGGCTTTTCATGCCTGGTTTTTAGATTTCTTTTAGATGGTCTCTGACTCTTTAAAGGAGTGCTGTTAGTACAGATGGGAAATTTTTATTAAAACTACATGTATACTTATATATAGACATATGTGCATTATAGGTAATTTTTGGTAGATAGTAACATGCTTCCTTACATTTTATGGAATCCTTACTGTTATTTTACCTTCCTTCCTCTTTCTTCTGTATTCATCTCCCTCTCCCTCCCTAGTTAGAGCTTCTTCTGTGTTGCCAATTTTCCCAATCAGATCATTTGTACCTTGGTATCCTTCTCTATTGCTCCCCCAAACTCTCACCCTGGCAATGGTTCCTTTTACTTTCCTGGTTTCTGCATTTACTTTGGGATATGTCCTTACATCTGAAGATTCAGAGCCAGGGACTTCCAATGAGATAGAACATGTAATATTTTATCTTCCTGGGTCTGGCTTTCCTCACTCAATATGATCTTTTCTGGTTCTATTATATTCCCTGTAAAGTTCATGTTTTCATTTTTTTTAAAAAACAAATAATATTCCAGAGTATATGTGTACCACATTTTTATTATCCATTTGTCAGTTGAAGGACATTTAGGGTGTATCTATGTCTTTTTTTTTTTTTTTTTTTTTTTTGGTTTTTCAAGACAGGGTTTCTCTGTATTGTTTTGGAGACTGTCCTGGAACTCACTCTGTAGACCAGGCTGGCCTCGAACTCACAGAGATCCACCTGCCTCTGCCTCCCAAGTGCTGGGATTAAAGGCGTGCACCACCAACGCCCGGCTGTATCTATGTCTTAATTATGGTTTCTATTGCTGTGAAGAGACACCATGACCTTGGCAACTCTTATAAAAGAATACATTTAATTGAGGTTTAGACCATTACAGTCATTGTGGGAAGCAAGACAGTATGCAGGCAGACATGGTGCGCAAGTGACAGGAAGTAGACGGAGACACTGGGTGTGTCTTGAGCATACATGCGACCTCAAAGCCTACCTCCATAAAGACACACCTCATCCAAGAAGAGCCCACCTCCTCCAATAAGGCAATACCTCTTAATAGTGCCACTCCCTTTGGGGGCCATTTTCTTTCAAACCACCACAATCCATTTCCTAGCCATTGTGAATAGAGCAGCAATAAACATGTCTGAGCAAGTATCCGAGGAGTAGGACTGCACATGTTTTCAATCCCACCAACAAACAGGGAGTGAGGGTTCTCTTTTTTCTGAATCCCCTCAAGCATTTGTTGTTGGTTGTTTTCTTGATCTTTGGCATTCCGACTGGGGCAAGAAGAAATCTCAAAGTTGTTTTAATTTGCATTTCTTTAGTTACTAGGAATGAATAACTCCTTTTTTTTCTTTTTTTCAATACAGGGTTTCCAAGACTGACTGATCTGTAACTTGCTCTGTAGACCAGGCTAGTCTCAAACTCACAGAGATCCGCCTGCCTCTGCCTCCCGAGTGCTGGGATTAAAGACATGTGCCACTACCACCTGCAAAGAACATTTTTTGATATATTTCTTTGAAATATTTTTTTCTTTTTTCTTTTGAGAATTCCCTGTTCAGGTCCCAGGCCCATTTTTCCAATTGGTCATTTGTCTTTTTTTTTTTTTTTTTTTTTAGAATTTATTTTTATCAGGTATGTGCGTGTGCTTGTAGGGGCCTTCATGGTAGGTTTCTGGGGCCGGCGGGTGTCTGATCCCCTGGAGCTGGAGGTACAGGCTGTCGTGAGCTGCCCAAAGCGGTGCTGAGAAGAGACTTGTGTCCTGTGCTCGTCGGCACTCAACCATCAATCACTCCAGCCTACTCCTTGTAAACACGCCACTGTTCAATAGTTACCGCAGGGTGTCCTACTTACTCTGCAAAAGTAACACTCTGGTTGTTTTGGAGCAGAGTGGTATTTGTTGGATAATGGAAACTCAACACCTCTGAAAAGTAAATTAAATCAAAAGCTAGGAAATCGAAATGCTATCTGCAGGAAAAGGACATGTCCTTCCTTGTTTTTGCAAGTTTTGTCTGAAGAACGCTGGATGTGCTCAGATCTTAAAGCTGATTCGGTTGCCCGGGGTTTTCTTTCCCTTGCTGTATGTATGTCTCGCTGCTGAGGCACGCTGGCACAGCTTCCGATTCTCCGCCTCACGTTAATGTCCTGGCTGCAATGGATAAACTTGCACTGCCGCCATTTAAAAGCTTTTGGAAGGAAGGGATCGATTACCCAAAACACAGATCTTCTTGTGAGTTGCCTGATGATTCTGCAACACCCAAACTGCTTTAGTTTGAGTAACAAGTTTATTTTTTCAAAAGGCATATAGAGATAATAAACAAAGTAAACATTTAAAGGTTGTAACTGCCCTAGACACTGCTCCGTAAGGCTGTCTAAGCATGTCCTCTTAGTAATCGTCATCTTCATCCGAGTCCATTACTTTTCTTCTGTTGAATTTAACTGTTGTCTTCTTTTCTGTCTGTTGGCTGACTTTCTCAAGTATTTCTATTAAACCTTGTTCTGACACCTTCCCGCTCAGTTGTCCATACCGTGCCATCTGTATGAGGTAGTTCTCTACCGCTTTAGTTTTTTCAGGCTTTACAAGCGCTAAGTTACTTAACCTGGCCCGGGCTGACTGATCCAGAACTTGGGCTAAGATACTGTTTCTCACTTCTGTTTCCCTTTGCTTTGTCTCCTGCTGGGCTGCATCACCAGGGTCCCCGTGCTTGGCCTGCAGCTCCGCGAGCCTCTGCTTCCTCAGCGCCTCGAGCTCTTCGTCCGCCATGGCGCGGCCGGCCGTCCCTCCGTCCCTCCGTCCCTCCGTCCGACGTCGCGCAGACGCAGGCCGTCTTTTTGAATCTTTTTAAAAAGTTCTTCGTATATTTTGGATATTAATCCTCTGTTAGATGTATAGCTGGCAATGAATCTCTCCATTTGTGGGCTTCCTCTTCATCTGGTTGATTATTTCTTTATATAGGCAAAAGACTTTTAGTTTTATGAAGTTCCACTTGTTAATTGTTGACCTTAATTTTTGGAGTCCTATTCAGAAAGCCCTTCCCTACACCTGTGTCATGCAGGGTCCTGTCTAAATCTTGAGCAGCTGTACTCTCATGTTTAGGCGTTTGATCCATTTGGAGTTCCTTTTTGTACAATGTGATAGATACAGATCTAATTTCATTCTGAATGTCTTCAGTTTCCTTCCTTTAGTTTACATGTCTGTTTTTGTGTTCATACCATATTGTGTTTCTTCCTTCCTTCCTTCCTTCCTTCCTTCCTTCCTTCCTTCCTTCCTTCCTTCCTCCCTTCCTCCCTCCCTCCCTCCCTCCCTCTCTCTCTCTCTCTCTCTCTCTCTCTCTCTCTCTCTCTCTCTCTCTCTCTCTCTCTCTCTCTCTCTCTCTCTCTCTCTCTCTCTCTCTCTCTCTCTCTCTCTCTCTCTCTCCCTCTCTTTCTTTTCTTAAACTTTCTCAAGATGTCTCTGGAATATATCTTGAGACCTGGTATGGTAACCCCTTACAGCTTTATTACTTTTACTTAGGATTGTTTTGGTTATCTGGGGTCTGTGAGTCCATGTGAATTTTAGGATAGATTTTCTATTTTTGTAAAGAATGAGATGGGGATTGCATTGAATCTGCTAATAGATTTTGGGTGTTGCTTTTTATCTACATACTGAATTCTTCTCGGAGGTATCTATGTCCTGTTCCTTCCCCTGGTCTTTCTTTTGTATGTCTGCTCCTTGTATAATGGAGTTCAGTGTATTAGAGTAGACAGTAGTGTTGGAGAATGCACAATTCTTTCACTTTTTAAATTTAATATCTTACTGAATAGCCGATAACTATTTAATGAGCAATATTTTGTCAAAAAAATTAACTAGACACTAGAAAACCCTAGTCCATAAAGTGATTATAAATATTTATTTGGAGCTGGGCATAGAGGCACATGCTTTTAATCCCAACACTTGGGGGAGGTGGGCAGATGCAGGCGAATCTCTGTGAGTTCAAGAGGTGTATAAAGAAAGTTCCATGAGCCGGGCAGTGGTGGCGCACGCCTTTAATCCCAGCACTCGGGAGGCAGAGGCAGGTGGATCTCTGTGAGTTCAAGGCCAGGCTGGACCGATAGCCTCCGAAACAATACAGAGAAACCCTGTCTCATAAAAACCAAAAAAAAAAAAAAAAAAAAAGAAAGTTCCATGACAGCCAGGGCTGTTACACAAAGAAATCTTGACTTCAAAAACCAATAAATAAATGACAAAAATTTATTTATTTGACAGAATGATATTTCTTTTACACAGAGGCAAGACTATCAATGAAAACTGCTACATAAATTAATAGTTGCATTTGAGATAGATCCAAGAACAAAAGATTTACTTTTTTGTGGCTCTTTTTCTTAGATTATTGTTGTATTTGCTTATACCTTTTTTTTGGCCTACCTAAATATATGTATCTGGGAAATAAATATTAAGTATTTTTGTGTCTGTCTTGTGTGTATATGGGAGTAAACGTGATTTCATTAAAAAGTAACTAGGATCTGAGTGTGATGATTTGTGACCTCAGCATTTGAAAAGCCAAAGCAGGAAGATTACAACATTTGAGGCCAGTCTAAGCAGTTCAGTAAAACACACACACACACACACACACACACACACACACACACACAATTGAAAAGTTCTTTAATGAAATCTTAGGACTTCATTTTACCATAAGCCCCAAGGTAGAAAACAACCCAGTAAAGGTTTTGTATTCATGGGGGACAATCACTTCCCCTAAGTGACCTATTAGCTACCTTTTCTGATATCACTGTGGGGAATCAGTCTAAGAGGCATTCTGCATGGATTGAATTCACACTGGCCTTTCTTTATTTGTCACCATTTTCTTTTTGCTACCAACTGTACTGCTAAATAGTTACATGTTTTTCTGCTTTTGAGGTGTAAGCTTTCTGGAGATGCTGCCATCAGGCCTTCAAGAAAACAGGTGAGCTAGAAAAGACGTGCTGCATTTCAGTGACCAGGATTTTCTTTCTTTCCAAAAAAATACATTTGCTTATTTATGTGTGTAAGTGTGTGTGTGTGTGTGTGTGTGTGTGTGTGTGTGTGTGTGTGTGTGTGTATCAGAGGACAACTTGCAAGAGTTGGTTCTGCTTCTACCGTTTGGATCCTGAGCATCAAACTCAAGTCATTCAGCTTGGTGGCAAGTATCTTACTTAACTTGCTCAGCTGTCTTGCAGGCCATGATCAAGATTTTCTGGTGGCTCAGACCACAGTTTGAAATCAGTGAGTAGAGTAGAAGAGGTACTGAGACAGTTGAGGATAGCAGTTTAAAATACTCCGTTGAGAACAAAGGCTTGCATTTAAGACTAGGAAGCATGCTGTGAGAAGCAGGTTGGGAGTCAGGAATGGGCACACGGGAATATAAATAGTTCTGGGATATTTGGATTTAGTAGTGGATTAAGATTAGTTTGGTAGTAAACATCTACTAGAAGTGATTTGTTTTTGACAGTGGAAAACAGCTTTCAGGATCAAGCAGACATAAGGACATAAATCAGGCAGTGTGATCTAAAGCAGCAGAAATTAACCGGATATAAAAAAGGAATGAAGAGAACAAAGTTGAAATGATTACTGAGAGAGATAAAATATTATATTCCCTCTGATTTCCTCAGGTGGATGCCCATCTTTTTGAAATATTGAAAGAACCTTAATTTCTAGTTGGGATGATTTTACCTAAGTATCCGTCCAGAGAAGACCTTAGCCAGCTTCTCTTATGTTGGTGTTGAACATCCCTGGAGCTTGGGCCTGGTATGGGAGACAGAGCAGGGGATTGTAGTGTACACCTGCCCAGGGAGAGCCAGATGGAAGGGCCCCTGAAGGAGGAGTGCTCTTCAGGGAAGTGCTCTACTGGAAGCTAAATGGAAAAAAGTGCAGCACTGAGTTACGGGCCAGCCATTTTCGTTCCACTAGGGTTTGGGTCAAATATCCCCAGAGAAACGCAAACTCATGGTGTGCCTGTGTGAATAGCTTTTCCTTCTGCTGGCTGGGTGGGAAGAGCCCATCCAAACTGTAAAAATACAAATCAGATTTTAGAATTTTATTCATTTGTTTATTTTACATCCCAACCACAGTTTCTCCTCCCTCCCTTCCTCGAAGTCCCTCCCCCGACCTCCCCTCTTCCCCCATGCACTCCTCCCTTTCTAATCAGAAACAAGCCCCCTATGGATGCCTTATCAAGTTGCAGCAAGACTAAGCACCTCCCCTTGTGTAAAGGCTGGCAAAAACGGCCCAGTGTGAAGAACAGGGTCCCCAAAACCAGCAGAAGAGTCAGGGACAACCACTTCTCCCATTGTTAGGAGTCACTTATATGCAGAGGACCCAGGTCAGTTCCATGTAGGCTCCTTGGTTGTCAGTTCAGTCTCTGTGAGCTTCTATGAGCCCAGATTATTTGATTCTGTGGGTTTTCTTTCTTTCTTTCTTTTCTTTTCTTTTCTTTTTTATGAGACAGGGTTTCTCTGTATTGTTTTGGAGGCTGTCGGTCCAGCCTGGCTTCAAACTCACAGAGATCCGCCTGCCTCTGCCTCCCGAGTGCTGGGATTAAAGGCATGTGCCACCACCGCCCGGCTGATTCTGTGGGTTTTCTTGTGATGTCCTTGACTCCTCTGACTCTTACCAATTTTCCTCCCTCTCCTCAGCAGGATTCCCTGAGCTTGGCCTATTGTTTGACTGTGGGTCTCTCCATGTTTCTACCAGTTGCTAGATGAAGCCTCTGATGACTATTGGACTAGGCACCAATCTATGAGTTAGGCATCATTACATTGACTTCCCCCCCCCTCTAGTTGTATTTGGTTTTATCCTGGTCTCTGGTCCATCCAGCCTCTTGGTCTTGGTGCTCCAGGCAGTGTTAGGGGTGGGCTCACTCTTGTTGCATGGGTCTCTGACTGGACCAGTCATTTGCTGATCACTCCCACAATCTCTGTGTCACCTTTACACATCCCATAGGCCAGACAGACTGTAGGTTATGTGGCTGGGTTGGTCTCCCAGTCTCTCCACTGGTAGCCTTACCTGGTCACAAGAGGTGGCCAGTTCAGGATATATATTTTCTTTTGCTAAGAGTCTTAGCTGGGCTCATCTTTATAGATTCCTGGGAGTTTCCCTTGCACTGGGTTTCTACCTGACCTTAAATGACTCCCTTTCCAGCTGGCTCTTGCAGTATTCCCCGCCTCCTCCACCTCATGTTCCTATCCCCACCTGGCCCCAGTCCACAAACGAAATTTCTCCTAATTTCTCCTTGCCAGGGAGATCCAAGTGTACCGCCTTGAGCCCTCTTTGTCACCTAGCCTATCTGGGGCTGTGGATTGTAGCCTGGTCATCCTTTACAGCTAATATCCACCTATAAGTGAGTAATTACCTTGTTTGTCTTTCTGGGTCTGGGCTACCTTAGGCAGGATGATTTTTTTCTGGTTCCATACATACAAATGAGTCTTAAAGTTCTTTTTTTCTTCTGAATTTTTGTATCTGTGAATGCTAATCTCCACTCTCAGAAGATGAGGGTTTTTTCTTTTCTCTGCATTTCCATTTATCAGTATGTTTTTTCCCCCTGCCTTTGCTCTCTTTCTTAGCTTTCTCCGCTTGTCCCCCCTTTAATGACAGACTTCAAGTAGCCCAGACCCTTGAACTCTTTATGAAGCCAAAGATGACCTTGGATTTCTAAATTTTCTGCCTTTGCCTCCAACTACTAGGGTTGCAGGTATATGCCATGATATCCAGTTTAGTGGATACCAGGGTTCGAACCCAGGGCCTTGTGCATATTACACAAGCATTCTGTCAACTGAGT